GACAAAGAGATAGTCTGAAAATGGAATGCAAGAAACGACGGCAGGCTGTCGAAGCATTCCCATTCAGAGGAAAGATGTTAGATAGCTTTCCGATTTTGACAAAGAGACTCACCAAAAATGGGATGAAAAGTTTCTGAAAATTTGCTCCGGTGGCGTTATGATGAAGTAAGGCACAAGCAATTCCGTTTGGAGTTAAATCCCAACTACCTTGTCGGAGGAGGCAAAATGACACCTTAGAAGTGGAAATACTTGAAAGCTAAGTTTCAGATTTTAGGCTGACGCAAAGTGACTTCTGACCTGAAATCTCTAAGAGTGTTTGACCTAACCAAGTGCTCCGAAGACTTTCCTTTTTAGGAGTCTGATCGTATGTCAAACTTTCGTTGGAGATTGTTTGTACGAGAATGAACAAACAACCATTGTACTTGCTCTGACAATAGTTTACTCCTACACCAGGTTGCTTCGAATGCGCACGGGTGGTCTGAATGGACAACTTGGTACGGAGAAGAGTCGAGAAAACATGCCTGACACAGGAAGTGCTCCGAGAGGCATGTCTGATAGCGAGAAAAGCCTCTGAATGAGTCAAAACTAATGAATTTCTCAGGCCTTTGAGTTGGAGAAAATTTTTGAAAGATTAAACTTGAGTTTTGGGCCTTTAAAGGGCTAAAATAAAGAATTTTAGGCTTCCAAAGATAGGGGGAGGCTTTCTCGGGTTGAATCCTCCACTACTCATTTATGCTTAATTTGACTAATTCTGAAAAATCCTCGAAGCGGGTTTCAAATTAGGTCCAATTAAGGACAAATGGGCCTATGTGATCACTCATGGCCCACCAAACCATAACTCACGGAGATCTCCGAGCGCGGTTTGGGTTTAGGAAACGAGCCCAATGACGTTGTATGACGCAAATGATTGGACATGGACCCTTAATTGGCCTGGTACGAATTCAGATATGAATCAATAGGAAAAAGTTGGAGATATATCATAGTTCATGGGGCAAAATAGGTACATTTTAAAGTTAAGGGGGCATATTGACACAAGTGATAAAGTTCAAGGGCATTTATAAGCATTTCCATTAAAAAACTTAGTGGAATTATCCTTAGGAGGCATGCTGACACAAGTGATAAAATTCAAGGGCCATAACATGCACATTTTAAAGTTTAAAGGGCATGTTGATGCAAACGATAAAGTTTATGAGAAATTTATAAAATTTGTCCAAGAAAATTATATTCACATGCAATTCTGATTGATTATTCTGAACAAGTATTCCTATTCTTATACATCTTTCGAGTAGTTCAGTCACAATTAGCTTGTGTCTAATTTACATAACAATAAATAAAATAATAACCATGACACGCTTAGAAATTATAACCGGGATTCAATTTAAGTGGGGTACAAATAAAACTTAAGTTTGTAATTTAAGATGATAAAAAAGAGGTAAAACTCCATGGATTAAAAAACAAAGTTATTATGCAATATCTTAAATGGAAAAAAGAACATTCACAGAATACTATTATATATAATCCTTGATCAATACACACAAACTTGTGTAACTAAATATGCGAATTGCTAATCGTTGGTTGTTGAAATCGATTATACTGAGGAACAACAAAATTATGATTTTAAGATGGGAAGAAAATATATAAAATAAAAAGAATTAGAGAGAGAAAAGGGAATAATAAATGCCAAAAGGAGTAAAAGGATTGACTGAGGGGGAATGGGGGGACATAAACTGGAAAATGTGCAGAAAATTCAAAAACCAAGGCAAAAAAAAAAAAAAAAAACAGGTGAGATTATATACAAGAGAAAATAAAAAAAAATAAAAAATCATTTTCATATGTAACATTCGAAAGTCAAAAACCTTTCAAACAAAAGTGTGTTAATTTAGCAAGAAAAAAAAAGTATGGTCACAAAGTCCATTAAAAAAGTATGCTGCACGTACAATTTTGGTCATAAAAGGAGATTTAAAAACTACATGAGATTTTTTTTAAAATAAAAAAGAAGAAAGAAAAAAGAAATATGGGAGAACTCCAAAGTTCACCGAGGGGGCTCATAGTCACGTTCTTTCATTGGTCTCTGCATATATCCCTCCCTAGTTACTTACAAATTTATACTACTATCATTTTCATTTTTCTCCAAAGAAAAAAACAGTATCATTTTCATAGTAAAACACTTCCTTAATGTTACCGGAAATTCTCCATCGCCTCTAGTAATATTATTAAAAGAGCTATATATATATATGCTTTAGATTTAGTATGTCTATTTGATTTTCCATTGTTACTATTTAGTATGCATTTCTTTTTCTTGTGTGTTTTCAATAGAAATCACTAGTGGATCCAGTCTACTTCCCGCTCGAGTATTCGGGGCTGTTCTTTTGCCCTTTTTGAGTTTGGTGACTTGAATGTAGATTTTGAGTTGAGTTTGAGTTATAATTTGAGTTGAAGTTGTAACTTGAGTTTGTATTTGATTGTGTACATTTGAGTTATGGTTTGAGATAAGAATCTTTTTGAGTGTGTTTGAGTGAGTCAAAACTTAAATTTGTATTTAGATAGGATTTTAATAAAAACTCAATGCTGATGAAAATTTTTAATAAGGTATATGGTGGGGTTTTATTCGTCTTTTCGTTGTCAACGCATAGAAAAAAAAAATCATCTCAATCAGAATTAAAACGAAAAAGTTATAGCATTTTTAAGAATAGAAAAAATACTGTTCATTAATTTGAGTTCGAGTTTCTGAACTTGAGTTGAAGAGGAAACTTGAACTCGAGTTTTAGTCCTGAACTTGAGTTCAAACTCGAGTTCAAACTCGAGTTCAAACTTAAAAGAACCTGAACTTGAATAAAATTATAACTCGACTTATTTTTTTTGAGTTTTTAACTCTAAAATAGGGCTGCCGAACAGCCCCTTATATGTTGAAATCATTTGTGTTGGTATAAGTGTGTGACAATGTGTAACTTTCAACTTCAATATAAAAACTTTCCCTTTTCTTAAAAAAAAAAAAAAAAACAGCAAAAAAAAAAAAAAAAACTGAAAATAAAAAGAAGTTCTGACGTGAAGGTTGTGGAAATCCGTAGCAATATAGATATGAAAACGAAAACAAAAAAAAATTATTTTCACACCTCACGTTCAATTTGACATAGAATGAGCATTAATACAAAGCATGTTCATACACAGACAAATAAATTTTTTTTTTAAGGGATATATATATATATATTTGAAATATATGATTCATATTCGTGCGTTTAGTTGATAGATTCATACCATAATTTAAATTATAGTTCATGATTCATTATAATATTTTTTTTTATAAAAAATACATGTAAATTAAGAATAATTTTAAATTTATAAATTAAACGTAAACAATGTCGATTGCCTATCCATTTATTAGATATTTCCTAAATTGTGGACAGGGGAAATGAAAAGCAGGAGAAGAAACAATACAAACCACGTCTCATATAAGAACGTGGACATCTTTATCACCGCAACCAAAAAGATTGCGAGATCGAAGAGCGAATGACTTCCAGTTCGACAACGATTTTTCGGAAAGCATAAAAAAGTAATTTTTGGCCGATTTGGTTTTCAATAAATATCGGGGTTTTTTTAATAAATAAATAAATAATAAGACACATGTGTTATTCATTATTATATTAAATAGGAATTTTATTAAAATAGAACGATATAAAGGCCTCGTGATGTTCTATTTCTTTTTTAAATTCATCAAACTATAATGTTTTTTTTTTAATTTAAACAGTAAAAATATAACTGGTAAAATGATTGAGGATTACTGCTATTAAATAAGAATTACTGTAAGATTACTTAAAAATATAAAACAGAATATAATTAAAATCAAATAACCTAAAATTAGATCATTAGTAACTCAAATCATATCACTATTTTTTTGTTGACTTATAAAATCTACAAATAAGCCAAAATCAGATCATATCAGTTTTTTGACCTATTATAAAATATACAAATAACCAAAAATCAGATCATATCTCAGTAACTCAGATCATATCAGTGTTTTTTTAACCTATTATAAATTCTACAAATAAATAACACATGCAAGAGCTTATCATTTTTAATTTTTTTTTATTTTTTATTTTTTCCAGTGTCTCTCTTTACTCCGCGCCGATGATGAATGCAGCAGAGTTCCAAAAGCCATCCATACTCGCATTTCTTCAAAGTTCACAGACACTGTATCTCACGTGCCCCGTAATTTCCGTTTTATTTGCCCAAATGGACGAGATTTTGTGCACGTGGTCAATGGGTCCCACGTCCCTTGCCAGCAAAAAAGTCTTTATTTTTCTTTGACTTTTGAGGGCATGGCTCATGAGCCACGCTCTTGTTTCGCACGTTGATTTCTTCAATTTACGTCGGCAATTCCAGACCTGCCAATAACAGTGGAATCAAACTCTCAGGGCTACAATAATAATAATAATAATAATAATAATATGGACAAGAAACATAAATCAATAATTGACAAATCAATCTGTGGAGTTCGTATATTTCCACGTCGTTTTTTGAATGCCCTTTTGATTATGGCAGAAGAGTACGAGTACGATTTTGATGAAATAAGACCGATGATCTCTTTTTTATTCAGGTAATACTAAAATTTATATTTTAATGATAAATTATTTTTAATATAACGCCACATTTGACATACAATATTTAACGATATAGTCTGATAAATATAAATTCTTTCATATATCTGTGTAACATTATTTGTATATGTGCAATACTCAATTTATTTAAATATAATATATTTATTGATTGTTACATAAAGCTAACTTAATATTAATCTTATGAACACATGAACGATGTTATATGGACATAGAAAATAATTACCCTTTGTCGGAAACCGGATTTTAATCACTCATTTTTTTAGTGCCAAATGCAACGATCACATTAATTAACCCGGTTGGGGGACTCACTGTTCCTCGAGCGGCCCAGAAATTGACTCGTATCTCCTTTGTCTTGTCTTTCGTGTCCATAATATTTTTATTTAATAGGCACTTCATTTATTTTCGTCCAGGATTTCAGCTCCACCAACATGGAAAGCTGATCACAATTTCATCACGTCGTTGTCTGACCATACAATAGAACAACTGGTTTCCTTCACAATCTCTCGCGCTTAGACTCCGAGAGAAAACTGGAAAAAGTTTTCTCGGTCGCCAAACACTCAGCTGAGAGGTAATAAAACAATAATTCTATAATCTCTCTCTCTCTATCTCTCTCTCTCTCAGCAAAGCTTTTGCATCCATATGGTTTAGTTTACCGGTCGCCATTTTCTTTTTCTAATGCCAAACTTTGTGTTGTCTTTTGATGAATCTTTTTTCTTGGTTCCTTTCCTTACTTGACTATTCATTTCTGCTTTTCTGATCTTTATTGTGTGTACAAAGTACAAACTGTTTATTACAAGGTCAAGGATAATAATTAATGTTCTTTAATTAATTAAGATAGTTTTTAAATGCGAAATGGTTTTAGTTTTTGCATAATTATTATAGTAATAATGCTTGTTTCGGCCAACTACTATTCATTAGTTTGACCCTATATTATAATAATCCTTTGATTGACAAATGAATCAAAATACTTCAAAGAACTCCCGTATCACATCCTTACCTGATTCATTCAATATTAATGAATATTTTCTTTCCCTCTCTTTCTTCTTACTTTCCTCGACAAAAAGTTGTTGTCCGTAGAGGATCCCATTGGCGTTGCTAATTATTTGCTTCAATTAATTCACTTTTATTTATTTATTTTCTCAAAAGCAATTTAACGTGCGGATGGCCAATAAAGCAATTTAAAATTAGCTGCAAAATAGTTTTTAACTGCGAAATGGTTTTAGTTTTTGCATAATTATTATAGTAATAATGCTTGTTTCGGCCAACTACTATTGATTAGTTTGACCCTATATTATAATAATCCTTTGATTGACAAATGAATCAAAATACTTCAAAGAACTCCCGTATCACATCCTTACCAGATTCATTCAATATTAATGAATATTTTCTTTCCCTCTCTTTCTTCTTACTTTCCTCGACAAAAAGTTGTTGTCCGTAGAGGATCCCATTGGCGTTGCTAATTATTTGCTTCAATTAATTCACTTTTATTTATTTATTTTCTCAAAAGCAATTTAACGTGCGGATAGCCAATAAAGCAATTTAAAATTAGCTGCAAAATGTTTGGCCTTTTACCAATTCTGGGCTTTCCTGGAAATAACTCTAGAAGGTTATAATTTATTTATAAAACCAAAAAACGGTGTGTACAGTTGTCTTGCTAATTTGGTTTTTTCTCTGCCTTAAAATGGCAATTTTAAGCTCTTAAGCTCCTCATCTTTCTTACCCTTAGACAGTTTCCAACCTGTCTTCTTGCTGATGAAATACGTGTAATTTATATTTCGTCTATTTCTGTCAGGTTTCATCTCTTAAAGTTTTTATCAGAAAATACTAATCTTTTTTTCTTCATCAGTTAATTTGTTGTATATGATTTTGACATAGGAATTGTAATATTGTTCTGTTTTATCTTTCCAGGGAACAAGAAGGATATATATATATATATATATATATGTATATATATATTGATGAGAATCAAGCAAGTATAAGCCAGTGGAATTTCTATAGCCTTTGATTTTAAGTCTCTAGGAATCATGTCTTCATCATCATGGATCACATCCGTTTCCTGTTCATCATCTGCAATTTCTCTTTCCCATGATGACTCATCTCTCTCAGCTGTATTCCAATGGCTGAGATTCATTTTTCTCTCTCCTTGTCCTCAGAGAGCTTTGTTGTCTTCAATAAACCTCCTTTTCTTGTTTACCCTCCTGGTCTTTGCAATCCAAAAGCTCTTATCTAGGTTCTTCTCCAATGACCAGCCCAATTCCAACCTCAACAAGCCTTTAATCACGACCAACAACAGGACTCATCTCAGAACAACTCTGTGGTTTAAGCTCTCAATTATCGTCACTGGTCTATTGTCACTTTGTTATCTTGTTGTATCCATTTTTGCATTCACTAAAACCACAGAATCCACATGGAAGATTGTAGATGGCCTTTTCTGGTTGGTTCAAGCCGTAACTCACATAGTGATTGCAATCTTGATCGCGCATGAGAAGAGATTCCAGGCCTTTAAGCACCCGCTATCGCTTCGAATTTACTGGATTGTGAACTTCATAGTCATTTCCTTGTTTACTACATCTGGTATTATTCGTTTAGTCTCAAGCCAGGATCCAAATTTGAGACTAGATGATATAGTTTCATTAGTGTCTTTTCCTTTGTCAATTGTTCTTCTTGTTATTGCCATTAGAGGCTCAACTGGGATTACTTTGGTTAATGAATCAGAACCTGGGATGGACTTAGAACCTGAGTTATACGAACCCCTTTCGAGCAAAGCCAAGGTGAGTGGCTTTGCTTCAGCTTCCATAATTTCCAAGGCCTTTTGGCTTTGGATGAACCCTCTTCTTAGCAAAGGCTACAAAGAGCCACTGAAAATCGACGAAGTCCCGTATCTTTCTCCGCAACATGTAGCTGAGAGAATGTCAAAGCTCTTTGAATCAAAATGGCCTAAACCAGATGAAAAATCAAACCACCCGGTTAGGACGACACTTCTCAGATGCTTCTGGAGGGAGATTGCTTTTACAGCTTTCCTTGCAATAATCCGTCTCTGTGTCATGTACGTTGGTCCTGTTCTTATCCAAAGTTTCGTGGATTTTACCTCAGGAAAAAGAAATTCCCCTTATGAAGGATACTATCTAGTACTGACTCTTCTTGTTGCTAAGTTTGTTGAAGTCTTAACAACTCACCAGTTCAACTTCAACTCTCAAAAGCTAGGAATGCTTATCCGTTCCACTCTCATCACTTCCTTGTACAAAAAGGGTCTTAGATTGACGTGCTCAGCTCGGCAGGCTCACGGGGTAGGACAAATTGTGAATTACATGGCGGTCGATGCACAACAGCTCTCCGATATGATGCTTCAATTGCACTCAATATGGCTGACGCCATTGCAAGTCACAGCGGCCTTGTTGCTTCTGTCCAACTACCTTGGTGCTTCTGTGGTCACTGCAGTTCTTGGAATTATAGCAGTTATGATTTTCGTTGTTTTGGGAGTGAAAAGAAACAACAGGTTTCAGTTTAATGTAATGAAAAACCGAGACTTGAGGATGAAGGCGACGAATGAGATGCTGAACTACATGAGGGTGATCAAGTTCCAGGCTTGGGAGAATCACTTCAACAAGAGGATTCAAAGTTTCCGTCAGTCAGAGTTCGGGTGGCTGACCAAGTTCATGTACTCACTTTCGGCCAACATTGCTGTCATGTGGAGCACTCCCTTGATGGTATCGACTCTCACGTTTGCCACAGCAATTATGTTGGGAGTTCCTCTTGATGCCGGGACGGTGTTCACAACCACAACAATTTTCAAAATCTTGCAAGAGCCAATCAGGACTTTTCCGCAGTCTATGATTTCGCTTTCGCAAGCTATGATTTCGCTCGGGAGATTGGATCGTTACATGCTTAGTAGGGAACTTGTTGGTGATAATGTGGAGAGAGTGGAGGGTTGTGATGGTAGAACTGCTGTGGAGGTTAAAGATGGTAAGTTTAGTTGGGATGATGAGAATGGTGAAGAGATTTTGAAGAATATAAACTTTAATATCAACAAAGGGGAATTGACAGCTATAGTTGGGACAGTGGGATCTGGGAAGTCTTCACTCCTAGCTGCAATTCTTGGTGAGATGCGTAAAATATCAGGAAAGGTATGATTAAGATTCAACACTTAATATGTTCACACACACACACACACACATACACACACATATATATCTATATCATATATAAATTACATGTTTTATTTATTCCCTTTCGGTTTGTGAATGGCAGGTGCGAGTTTGTGGGACAACTGCATATGTAGCTCAAACATCATGGATTCAGAATGGAACCATTGAAGAAAACATCCTATTTAGTTTGCCAATGGACAGAAGGAAATACAATGAAGTTATTAGGGTTTGTTGCTTGGAGAAAGACTTGGAAATGATGGAGTTTGGAGATCAAACTGAGATTGGAGAGCGTGGAATCAACTTAAGTGGTGGCCAAAAGCAGCGGATACAGCTTGCCAGGGCTGTATATCAAGACTGTGATGTCTATCTTCTTGATGATGTTTTCAGTGCCGTTGATGCTCATACTGGCTCAGAAATTTTCAAGGTGAATCACTGCTTACAAAATTTCTTATAATTTATTTTATTTTATTTTATTATTGCGCCCCCGTCCCCTGGAACTTGAACTCAGGACTCAACACGTTGAAAGCACGCACACACCCACCAACACCAATTGATGATAGTGTTGGCAGACTTTTACTAAAGGAAAATGATGCTGTAACTCTACATGCTCAATTTGAAGCAACAAGAATTGATTCTCTTTCATTATTTTAGTGCTTAATATTTACTTCATTTCACAGGAATGTGTCAGGGGAGTGCTCAAGAACAAGACTGTCATTCTAGTAACTCATCAAGTTGACTTCTTACACAATATTGATCTTATCTTGGTAAGTCAACATAAGCCAAGAGGCAGCTTCAACCATTTTTGTAATTTTGTTCTTAAGTATACAGATGTGTTGTGAACTTGCTTGCTTCCTAAAATATCAGGTCATGAGAGATGGGATGATAGTACAATCAGGAAAGTACAATGAACTGCTAGATTCAGGCATGGATTTCGGAGCACTAGTAGCAGCTCATGAATCCTCTATGGAGCTCGTAGAAGCTGGCGCCACCATAAGCAACGAGAGTTCCACGAAACCACTAAAATCCCCTCGATCCCCTTCAACCCATGGGGAGGCCAACGGCGAGAGCAACACTTCTGACCAGCCAAAATCGGATAATGGCAACTCCAAGTTAATCAAGGAGGAGGAGAGAGAAACTGGGAAAGTGAGCCTCCACATCTACAAAGTTTATTGCACCGAAGCTTATGGATGGTCGGGTGTGGCTGTAGTGTTGCTGCTGTCTCTTGTATGGCAAGCATCTTTAATGGCTGGTGATTACTGGTTAGCCTATGAAACTGCAGCGGAACGTGCCGTGTCGTTTGATCCTTCCCGTTTTATTTCTGTATACGGCATAATAGCTGCCATTTCGATTGTGTTGGTAACTATGAGATCCTTTTCTAGTACCTTTTTGGGGCTTAAGACTGCACAGATTTTCTTCTCGCAAATTCTCCACAGCATCTTGCATGCCCCCATGTCATTTTTCGACACCACACCCTCGGGAAGAATTCTCAGTCGGGTAAGAACGATTCTCTTCCTAGTTTTATATGAACTATTGATGAAAGTATGCCAAGTTAATCAGCTAACTGATGGAAGTTCTGTTCCATATAACAGGCATCGACTGATCAGACCAATATTGATGTCTTTCTTCCCTTCTTTATGAGTGTTACCATTGCCATGTACATAACACTGCTCAGCATCTTCATCATTACATGCCAATACGCCTGGCCAACAATATTCTTGTTGGTTCCACTTGTTTTCCTGAATGTCTGGTATCGGGTATGAGTCACGACCCTTCATTTTAGACTCTAGTGTTCCGTTCTCTTTCACATTGTAACAAAAATAATAATAATTATAATAATAATAACGAACATAAGAAAATAATTAATTATACCTCTTGGTTTTCAGGGATACTACCTTGCAACATCTCGTGAGTTGACTCGCCTTGACTCAATCACGAAGGCTCCTGTAATCCACCACTTCTCAGAGAGTATCTCCGGGGTCATGACAATACGCTCTTTCCAGAAACAGGACCGTTTCTGCCAGGAAAATATCAGAAGGGTGAACGAGAACTTGCGCATGGATTTCCATAACAACGGATCAAACGAGTGGTTGGGTTTCCGTTTGGAACTTCTGGGAAGCTTCATTCTGTGCATGTCTACCCTGTTTATGGTCTTGCTACCAAGCAGTATTATAAAGCCAGGTATGAGATTATTTATTAAAATTTGTTACTTCACAATACAAATGAGAAAAATGTTAGCGTCACTTTTTCTGTCACTCTCTCTGTCACTTTCTGTATTAACTGTTTGATACGCGGACTTCACTATTACATTTTATGTTTAAATATCTACAAATAATAACCAATTTACATCTTTTTTAACTTGATGCAGAGAATGTTGGTTTATAAGAGAAATGCTAGCGTCACTTTTTCTGTCACTCTCTCTGTCACTTTCTGTATTAATTATTTGATACGCGGACTTCACTATTACATTTTATGTTTAAATATCTACAAATAACCAATTTACATCTTTTTTAACTTGATGCAGAGAATGTTGGTTTATCTCTTTCTTACGGATTGTCCCTTAATGGTGTGATGTTCTGGGCTGTCTACATGAGTTGCTTTGTGGAGAACAGAATGGTTTCTGTTGAAAGGGTAAAGCAGTTCACAAAGATTCCATCAGAAGCAGAATGGGAAATCAAAGACCGTCTTCCTCCTCCAAACTGGCCCACCCAGGGCAACGTTGACCTCAAAGATTTGCAGGTAAGTGTCCCCATCAATTCTCCCAAACTCTACCAGAGACCTTTTTTTTTAATTAAAATTAATCTCAATAATATCATATATGAAAAATAGATCCTTTTCATGGATTAAAAGGGCTTTTTGCGAGAAAAAATCTAAACTGAGATAAAAAAAAATGACAAGAAAAATGCTCTTACGTTGATATGGTACATGATTATCATTCTTCCCTTAAAAGAGAATGTACATAATTGTTGTAGTAATTACCTGATGCATGAGTCTTCGTATTCACTGCTTATTTGACATGTCATTTAAATTTAAAGACATTACCAAATAAGTAAGAAGTGAGGTATTTTTAGTACTAAAAATACTTTAGCAACTAAATGAAGTGTTAATTTGATCTGGAACACAATCAATAAGATAAGAAAATGGAACAACAAATTCAAATGTACTTAAATTTCATTACAACACGAACATTTTTCTTCTTTTTTAATTAATTGCGAACAAAAAGAAAAAGGAGAAATTCCTTAAATCTAGCTAATTGCCAACACTTGAGTGCGAATTAAGAAAAAGACTAATGAACTGGTTAAGTTTTTCATAATCACAATGAATATTTTTTCAATTGAGGTAAGAATAATAAAAAAAAAAAAAAAACTCATCTTGGGAATGAATTATTGACGATGAGCAGGTGAGGTATCGGCCGAACACTCCATTGGTTCTGAAAGGACTCACTTTGAGCATCCATGGTGGAGAGAAGATCGGCGTCGTTGGACGAACGGGAAGTGGGAAGTCGACTTTGATACAAGTGCTCTTCAGGCTTGTGGAGCCCTCGGGAGGCAAAATAATCATCGACGGCATCGACATTTCCATACTTGGCCTTCATGATCTCAGGTCTCGATTTGGGATCATCCCTCAAGAGCCTGTCCTTTTCGAAGGAACTGTAAGAAGCAACATCGACCCTGTTGGAGCTTACTCAGATGAAGATATATGGAAGGTAATATATATACTATACTTCTTTGTTTGTGAAGTTGTGAGAGATGTTTTCTTCACAGTTTTGTCTCATACTGCTCTTCTTCTGTAGAATATTCTCTTTCTCAAGTAATTACTGTGTCGAAGTTAGTTAATTATCAAAAAGTTATTGTTTTCCAATTTGTGTTGATTTTCATGATTCTGCATTTTTGTTATAAGCATACCCCGAGACCTAGCGGAGGCATATATAATTTACGTATTTAATTCCTTGTACGTTTCATGTTTTCCCTCTTTTTTCATGTCGTTTTCTGATATAATGTCGCCTTTTATGAATCTTGTCGTTTAGAAGTTTTTGTCGTTTCTACTATTGTCTTTGTAATAATTGGCGTTTTATAGTTTTTGCCGTTTTCTTATAGTCCTCGTTTCTAAGTTTTGTCGTCTTCTATATGTTGTCCTTTTTTCCTGTTCTTGTTACTATATTATTGGCGTTTATAGGATGTTTTCGTTGTGTAGAATAGGAGATAGGGTCGTTTTTACGATGGTGGATCCTAATAATTAAGTCGTTTAATGATGATATTTTTTTTTTCTAATCTTAATATATAATGTCGTTATATCAAGTTTTCTGCCTTTATAGTGTTGTCCTTTTTTCTGAACAAACTCGCTTTCTCTTAAAGATTTTCACGAGATATTTATTCCCTTTTTTTTACGGCTCAAATTTTTTATTATATTATCTTTTTTTATAACATTTTAAATTTAATTTTTTTATTACTGCATTTTATTTCATATAAATTCACATTTTAACTTAAATTTTCTAATTCAAAATGTGAAAAGAAAGGACCATCATTTTTTAGGATGCTAGTTCATTTCCATTAGATTTTGATTTATTTTGTTCATCTGTTGCCACAACAACCACGAAAAGCCGATTTTCTTTTTCCTTGCGCAAATCCGGCTGACCCAAATCGAATTTTAGTAGGAATTCATCTTCTTTTTACGATATTTCTTGTCATTAATGTTTGCATTAACCTCGTTAATGTTTCTGTAGAGTCTCGACCGGTGCCAGCTCAAGGATGTGGTAGCTTCAAAATCAGAGAAACTCGATGCTAAAGGTACTAATTCTCACTTCATTTTTAAAAATTTTTTAGTACCATTTCCTCAAACCAAAGTATTCTTCCTCACAATTTTGCTATCACTTAATCAGTGGCTGACGACGGAGACAACTGGAGCGTGGGACAAAGGCAGCTCCTGTGTCTAGGACGAGTGATGCTAAAGCGCAGCCGGCTATTGTTCATGGACGAAGCCACTGCCTCGGTCGACTCACAAACTGACGCCGTAATTCAAAAGATCATCCGGGAAGATTTCGCTTCTTGCACCATCATCAGCATTGCTCACAGAATTCCCACGGTCATGGACTGCGACAGAGTGTTAGTGGTAGATGCAGGTTAGTACTAATTGTTGTTTGCTTTCTAGCTATTTTAATCTCGTGTGTTCTTTTAAGGCATTTTTATGATTTTTTTTTTCCTGATTTGATTATAGGACGCGCTAAAGAGTTTGACAAACCGTCGCGCTTGATTGAAAGGCCGTCGTTCTTTGGAGCATTGGTTCAAGAATACGCCAATAGATCGTCTGGACTATAATTAATAATCCAATCCAACAATTTCTCTGTTTGGTGCTAATATCTTGGCAAGTCTCTTGAAGTGCAAGTTCTTGTGTTTCTCGTGCCACTACAACAAATGATCGCAGGGGCGGAGAAAAAAGCGTTGCGGTTTCTGCTGTGAAAGAATGGAAACAACCTTTTTGTCCTATGAACTGTTGAACTTGGTATTAACACGTTAATAACAAATGTACTTCCCAATATTCTACCCAAAAAAAAAGAAGTTTGCTTGCGCATATTAATGTATTATTGACTTCACTTGTAATTCATGATGGTAGTTAGCAACATTGTAGAAGTCTCCATGAACTAGTCAACTAGAAAGCTAAAGCTTAGAAGCAACAAAATAGAATTATTGAAATCAATTCGGTTTATAGGTGTTGTTTGGTTCACGGGTTAAAATTAGAAAGTTTAAATCAAAATTCTAATTTTTATGAGAAAAATATTGTAACAAAAAAGTCTAAATCGTAGTTCAAACTCACAAAACAAACAAGCTCATGTTTCTTAATGACCTTATTCAACTCAAACAGGCTGCTCTCACTATAAGGGTAAAGAATACTCTGTCAGATTACACAATATTTTTTGTTGAAGAAAAAAGGTCTCGTTTTGGCCGTTTTGAATTCGCATCTCTTTTCATCAATATCTCATGCGTACCCAAAATTGAAAAAAAAAGAAGTTTGCTTGCGCATATTAATGTATTATTGACTTCACTTGTAATTCATGATGGTAGTTAGCAACATTGTAGAAGTCTCCATGAACTAGTCAACTAGAAAGCTAAAGCTTAGAAGCAACAAAATAGAATTATTGAAATCAATTCGGTTTATAGGTGTTGTTTGGTTCACGGGTTAAAATTAGAAAGTTTAAATCAAAATTTTAATTTTTATGAGAAAAATATTGTAACAAAAAAGTCTAAATCGTAGTTCAAACTCATGAAACAAACAAGCTCATGTTTCTTAATGACCTTATTCAACTCAAACAGGCTGCTCTCACTATAAGGGTAAACCGGTAAAGAATACTCTGTCAGATTACACAATATTTTTTGTTGAAGAAAAAAGGTCTCGTTTTGGCCTTTTTGAATTCGCATCTCTTTTCATCAATATCTCATGCGTACCCAAAATTGGTTCCAAACATAGCATCTGTTAAATTTTAAATTTTGGTTTTTTAGTTAATGCGTTGACCTTCTACTTGGTAATCATATTATCATTTTTAACTTTTTGAAACTTAAAAATTTTCCTCTTATGCATATATTCTTTTGAGAAATTTCCTTTTATAATTTCAGAACTTAAATTATATGAAAAAATAGACATACCAATATAAATTTAAGAACAAAATATAATATCATTTTTTAAAGAAAATAAAATAATATATGAAATATGGTATTCTTTTATGCCAAAGCATTACCTTTGGGGAGAATGTCTAATAAGAAATAAATTTCCTCCTATTAACTACTACAGATTGGTCTACTTTGTTCCCAGAAATAAAAAAAACGAAGGAAAAGAAATAAAAAGATGTACCAGGTATAGTGTTAAGTGTCAGGATTAAATTGTCAAAACAACAAAGGCATAGGATAAAAGAAAAGAAAGTGTTACATTTGGGGACTAACAATGCAATTTATCTTTTCTTCTTGTCCCTGATCTCAGAGACGAAACGCACCGCTTAGAGCTTAGAGCTTCTCGGTTCCTGACATTAAACCCTAATCTAAACCCTTAACTGCATTTTCTTCCCCAATTGTTTGCCCTAGAAATCCAAATCCAAACCACATTTAGAGAGAGAGAGAGAGAGAGAGAGAGAGAGAGAGATGGGAGGATCGCGAAGAAAGTACAAGAAGTCGAGGCCAAAGGTACGGGTAGGTCTGCCAAAGAAGAAGCCGAACGTGTTCAAGCCGGCCTTCAATTTCCCTCCCAAGCTTCGCTCTTTGCTCGAAGAAGAAAGCAATCTCCCCAAATGGGACGACCAAGCCAGCGTCATCCAAAACTACAAGTCGTTTGGCGTCGTTTCCAACCCCAACTTGCTCGGCGTTCGATCCCGAACCCCTCACCTCATCCAAAGCGATTCTCTCCAGGTCCCCCTGCCGCCTCCGACCTCCAATTCCAACGGCGACGCCGAGTTTGATGGTCTCGCCGATACCGGAAGCGATCTCGAAGAAGACGGTGAGTTTCTCGCTTTAAAGTATAAATCTTTGAATGGTTAATTTGGATATTCTCAAATTTCAACTTCTAATTTTTGCTTTGCGAGTCAAATTTTTCATTCTGTTTTTAAATCCATGTTTAACCCGAGTTTCGATTTTGGATAAAATGCTAATCGAGCGAGGGTAATGTAATTATAGAACACGAGTTTTGGTTAATTGTGGATGGATGGATAGCTTGGCTTTCTAAGCTGATTATTAATTTGTTAATTTGTTTTTCTATTAGTTATTACATTTTTGTACATTTTTGCAATGAGTTTCTGGATCCTCTTTGGAAGTATTTATAGATTATGTAATAGAGAATATTTCCTTATTGGATTGTGCATTACAAACTTCTGATCGAACACTCAATTTTTTGTTGGTTTTAGCTTGAGTGAAAGTATGAAACCAAGTTTGTGTTTATCTATTTTACAGTGCTGTGTTTCTGTTATATATGGAACCCCATGGGTTGTCATGTCTAAAGAAGCTTAATTTGATTGAAGCAAAGCAAAAATTGCCATCTTATGTCTTCAGAGAGGGGATTTGTTTGTGTCTATTAACTTGTTTCCCCTTCTCTATCTATTGTTGTTGAACTGAAGTTAATTGATCTTATCGGATGGTCGTTGTTATTTTGTTTATTTGGTGCTTTTTGTTTGGATTGTGCAGACTTGAAATCAGCGCTGGGAAAGAAACGAAGAGATGGGAAATCTGCGCCTCCACAACCATTGACTGCCTTGCAGCGGCGTCATATTGGCCTGTTCATTGAGAAACATGGGGACGACTATCAGGTAAGAAGCAAGCATTATTCGAGTCTGAAATTTGTTGGTTTCTTTCTTACTCTGCCTCACTTAATGAGCTCTTTGTTTCAGAGTATGTTCATGGATACAAAACTGAATTCTATGCAGCATTCTGTTGCAACCTTGGAGAAGCTATGCGGAAGATACCACATGTGTAAAGACAAAAATCCATTGATATGTCCCAGTTGAGAATGACTCTGGTCTGTGTGGTATGCACGTTTTTGGGAGAGTTTTGGACTATAATGCGAGAGCTGCTCTCTCGTATTCCTACTTTTGATAATTGATGTTATTCTCATATTTCTTTGAACTTAAAATGGTTTAATTGTCCTATTTTAACTAGTAATTCTGAATCTAAGAGCATCTCTGATGCAATACCAAATTAATGTACTAATACCAAATTATGGTATTTGAGTAGGAAATTTATTCTGTAATGCAAAAATTTTGACATTTGGTTGTTTGATGTGTTGGTCTTTGCATTCAGTAATTACAATATTGTTATTTTCAAAATATATATTTTGAAATATCTGCTTGTAAAAAAGTGTTTGCACAATTTTTGGAAAATATCGGTTCACAAATACTGATTCGGTGAAGTTGTACTGTATTTTGCACAAAATTTTGGGAAATATCGGGTGTGTTTGGAAATCATTCTAAAATGATTTTGTTTTTTGTATGAAAATAGAAATGAAAACATTTTCAATCTCAGAGATAAATCATTTTTAAAAATGCGTTTGGTAATTTTATTAAAAGATTGTTTTCAGTATAAAAAAATAATTAATGTTTCTCTCTCCTCGAGAGAGGAGAAAACATAAACAAAAAATAAAAAACGATTAAAAGTCGTTTTCATTTATCTCTTATTTTACACTAAATTAAAAAATTATTTTCATTTATGTTTTTTGTCTTTAATTATACCAAACGTCATCTCTCTCCGATTTTTATTTTTTTCTCAAAAAATATGAAAAATAAAAACAAAAACGACACTAAACACTGCCATGCTTTTTTTTTTTTCCATTAAAATTTGAAGTCTTCAATCTGACTGATACATGTATTGTCATCCTTGCAAGTTGCATAATTGAATGGTCCAGAAAGTAGTGCGACTCTTTCTCCAACTAAAAACTGTTACCAGTGTTTCCCCCCACTAAAAGAAATGCTCCATTTTGATTCATGCACCAAAAGTTTGGTCCAACATCTGGAAGATATTGATAGGCATCATTTGTCAAAGGCCACGTCATAAATCACGTATGAAAAAGATTTTCAAGAAACAAAAGTTTATTTACAAAATTATGCACAAAAAACAACTGGATTACATTTGCATTACATCAGTACATGACAATAAACATTAACAAGTTATTCTAGAACCAATTTAATTTAACCACCTACGAAATAAAAAGAGAGAGTTGTGTGATCAATTAGACACCCATGAAAGCCCGACATTGCGATTCCCAATGTTCCTTTGCTTGTCGAACTCTCTCAACTCTTTCTGTTTTAAGCCTCTCCTCCCAGTATTCACGGCAGCTTTTCAAATCAATTAGAGCCAAATGAGAGATTGATATCCGGTTTACGTAATTTGAAACAAGAGCTTTTGCAAGAGTAAAATTGACTTTGTGGGCAGATAAATACCTTCGGCTTAATAGAATGCTAAGCTCCTCCAAGTGTACACTGCCTTCATAAACTCTTACCTGAAATAAAAACAAGATAATCACAGACTGACAGTTGAATATATTTAAGGGATATTTAGAATTTTGTATATTTAGTTTATGAAAAGAAGTAGCACTTATATTTTGGATGTTCCTAGGTCTGTACATCCGAGTTTCAAATATTGTAATTTTTTTTTATATAGCTTTGGAACTAAAAGCTTGTTTTTATACTCATATTGACAAATTTATTTGGAAAAATCTAAAAAATACATTCATGTCTGGGTTTGTGACATCCCCTTTGGCAACGTACGGTGGTTTAGCATCACAATTATCAAGTTTTGTGGTTCGCAATCCAACACTGGATCACATCCATGGCTGCTACCCCTGATTGAATTAAGCAAAAAAAGGCGAAGTAAATACAAAATATGAGTTAATGAATTGACATCGATTTACCTCTCTACAGAGAGGGCATTTTGCTTTAGGCTCTGCGGACTTTAGTCCATCTACGATCGTCACCGAAGCAGATGAACAAGCACACATGTAGCAGAAAATATGACCACATGTGAGAGCAACCGGATCAAAAACTATGTCCTGTTAGAAGACAGGAAAAAAAACAAAGATAACCTAATAAGTAAATGACCTTTCTACGAGTCATATGTAGAATACATACTTAATAGAGATCCCAATTCTTATCTTAAATTTTTTAATACCAACTCACGTATCTATTTATTAGACGTATCTTTTTAATATCAATTGGCGTAAAAGTTCTTTAAACATTTGTGAATAAGAAAATATAACTCGTAAATTACGTTAGTTGGTATTAAAAAGGCTTTCATAACAATTAGGATCACTAACATTATCAAAAGAAGAAAAAAAACCCAAAAATGAAATCTGGGGACTTACCAAGCATATGGAACAAGTCAAGTCAATATCAAGCTTGACAGAATCAAAGAGCTCGCAAGTGAGAGATGGTTTACCATCAGTAAAGGTGAGTGAACATCCATCAAATAACACAGATGTCCTTCTTGATTTCACCTTGATTTCTCTCAAATTGATGTGGAAAGCCATTAGTTCACAAAGCCATGGACTCTGAAGGATCTCGATGTGCATGCTTTGAGCTTGCGACTTGAATGCTTGTCCTTGCTTGGAGTCATGAACCTGCTCAAAAGCAGATAAAACACCTCAATATAGTACTCAATCTGGTTTATAGCAACCAAAACTTTAAACATTTGTTTGGTAAGATGGGATGGAAAATGTAAAGAGAAATGAGAAGCAAAATACAAAGGTGAAGAAGGGGCTTTTCTTTAATGTTGTTTGGTGAAAAAGAAATAAAGGATGCAAGAAAACGTCTGAGTCTAAATTATCGTATGATCATACTTTCATACAAAAGAAGAAAATGAGATATGATTAGGGCCAAAATGATTATTGAATATATATTCTTTTTCATCAAATATTTTCTCGTCATTCTTCTTTACAAGGTTGAACGGATAAAGAAATAGTAGGCCATACGAATATATAACTTATTTCTTTCTCAATTTTCTCTTTATCAAACAACGCAACATTCTCCTTTCTTCTCCAAAATCCCTCTTCTAATATCTTTCCTCTCCCTTTTTTACCCTACCCAAACGGAGGCTAAATGGAGATAAACTTACCTTATCATATTTCTTTAGTATTTTACGCATGGCAATGGCGTTGATAAGTGCATAAGTAACTAGGTCCTTGCCTTCTTGAATTAAGGCAACATGGTTACCTTGTAGCTTGCCTTTGAACCAGAAAAAATACTTTCTGAAACCAGAAGCCAAATGCAGCTCAAGCAGTTTCTGTGCACGCTCATTGAAGCAACCCACCACTGCTGACATTTCCTTTAGAAGTGAAGGAAAGAAAGTTCCATCACAAACTGCAAAAGAACAAACTCAGATTAAAAAACCCCCCACAAACAACAATTATATAATAACTATGACATTTACTTAGCAAACATGGATTTAATAAAATTGGTCATTTTCACCGGCCCAGAGAATTCAACCATTTTTTTTTTTAATTTGCTCCTAAAAATTGGTCAGATTCCTATATCACCAAATAAATAGTAGTACATGAAAGTTTGTTTCAATAACCTTAGGCCATGAGCAAGGAATATGCACAGTTTATTTTGTGAAAATAGATGCAGCCAAACTTTTCAGAGTCCAATTTATAGGGTATATTCATAAAAAGTCTAATAAATCTCTTTCATCCCACCAAAAAAAATATCAATTTCTAGGTGGGTATGCTTAAATTGAAAGAGGAAATTTTGCAAGAAATGGTAGAAAATTTTACTCGGGTGGACTTTGTAATAATCTCCGGTGTATATACATCACTAGAAAATAGACAAATAATTTAAAACAGAAGTTGACAAGAAGAATGAGAAAATGACGGAGAACATACGTTGTCTCATCTGTTATGTGATAATTGTACTCCAATTTTGAGCTTATAACCAAACACATCTTATCATTCTCATCAGTTTTGGTTCATCATCATTTTTTTTTTCGGTTTGCTAGAATTAAGATTTAAAGCTTAAACACTGAAGAGATTTCTACAAAAAAACAAAAACAAAACAAAACAAAACAAAACAAAACAAAACAAAACAAATAAAACTATAAACCAGGAGAAACCCAGAAATTCGAATCCCAGATATAAATACAAATACAAACATTAAAAAAAAAAAAAAAAGAACCAATAAAAAGCAGATATATAAGTGGCTTATAATCACCTGCACAATTGTGAGGGCAGGGTTGGTCATGAAGAACACCATTAACGTCGTTCTGTGAGTGTAAATCTCTCCGACACTTCTTTAAGATCTTCTTGAGCTTCTTGAACCCAACCCCAGGTAGTTTTTTCTCTTGTCCTTCCATGTACGCCTGATATTTCTTGCAAAATTTCATCTTCCTTCAAACTTCAAACAATACGACGCAAAATCCCACCCGACACGACAAAAGAAATAAAATAAAATAAAATAAGAAAAAACAGACAAGGCGAAAGAAGAACGAGGATGGGGAGAAAAAGAACTAATATGAAACAGAGTTTTTATTTGTTTATTTATTTATTTATAAGGAGATTTCTCAGGCGTTCCTCTGTTTCTACGTTCAGATGTTTAACGGTTTTTTGGGGAGTCTAATTGGTGACGAACATATAGAAACGACAATTTCAGATACTGAAATGAAATCTGAATTCTCGGGCAAGGCAATAGTCCAATTTATCGGGAACTTTGATATCCATATTTTTTCTTTTGTTTGAAAAAGTTAGAGCTCATTTAGTTTATGTATTAAAATTATGAGATTAAAATTATTTTTAATTTATATGTATTTTTTATGAAAAAAATATTATAACGAATTATAAATTATGATTCGAATCAAAAAACGAATTATCTATCGAAACGGACTCTTAATTTATCCATATTTTGAAAATCTTTTTTTTTGAGTGAGTGGGCTAATAGATAGCTTTCTCACTTAATTCCTCACCTGATATGCTCTACTTTTACGCGCTCTGAATCCCCGCCTACAGTTAGTTTTACTTACAGTTACCATAATAACCATATTTAAAAAAAAAAAAAAAAAAAAAAGGAAAAACCTTGATTTGTGGAGTGAAAGTTGAGGTGAGAAAAAGTGGTTATTGTCTAAGGTTAGTCATAGTTACACTTTTGACTTTATTATAAGATGATGAGTGTGAGTTTAAAAAAAAAAAAAATTTTGAGATGAGAAAAAAAGTCAAAAAACCAAATTTTATAGATTCAAAGTATGTTTAAAAGGAAGTAGTTTAAAGTTTCCAAATTAAGATGATTATTTATGGTATAATTTACTTTCTAATTCTGTTGATACCGTTTTCCATTTCAATCATGGGATAATGTTGTAGTAGTATTGTGTTTTTTTTCATACAATTACGAAAGGCACTAATACTGTTTTTTTTTTTTTTCCTTTTCTTTTTATAAATAACACCTTTTTTTTACAAGCAGAACTGAGCCCGAAATTTTCCTAAAGTCTTGCCCCAAATTTTTTGATGCCATCTACGACATAGTTACATGTTTTTTTTTATTTTTTTATTTTGAGTTAATTATGAGTTACAAGGTAGGGATAAAGGGTGGCATACCCCACAAACAAAGTTATATGTTAGTTGCTTATAAATTTATGCCTAAAATTATCGTCTGGTCATTTGAAATAAAAATAAAAATATCGTATTGTTGGTAGGTGAGAATGTTAATTGTCCATCAACGTTGGTCCCCATCCACTTGGGCACTTAGGCACATAAAGCACACGCTAGTCAATTGCTCATAATTCATATCGCTTGCTTAGAATAGGTCGGTAACATTTTTCTTGTATCGTGGCTTCTAAATACTTCAAATTAATTTTAATTTGAATATATTTTCCATTTTACATAAAATAAAATAATGTCATCATTCACTTTTTTTTAAAGAAAAAAAAAAAACTCAAATCAATGTTGTACATTAGCACATTACTTAGAAGGGAAATAAGTGTTTACCAAGTTTCTCTACACTTTCTTGAACAACTCATAAATAGAAAAAAGGAAATAAAGTAATACAAAAAACACTCACGAGTAGTAATTAACCAAATCCACCCGTGATATATGAGTTTTTTTATTGACCCAAAAATTGGAAAGACTATTGTCTGCGGCTTTTATTCCAAGTTACGTGATTAAGTTGTGGTTCCTGTTGGATTTGACGAGACTTTTGTGCAAATGTGGCTAATTTGGTTCCTAACAATTAGCATGTTTGAACACTATTATTTATATTTTACAAGTTTGAACTATATACTTGCAAGATACTAGTTTTGTGAAGATATGGATGAGTCAATTTGACGAAACTCATCGGTGATTTCCTTTAAAGCAATTGAAGACAATAGTCATTTTCTTCCTTTTTTTAATATATATATATATATATATATATATATGTGTATATATGTGTGTATGTATGTATAGTTGAGAAGTAAATCTATCTCGTTTTTTTCCCCGCGCTAAAAATGTGATGGAAATTTTTAGACTTTTAAATTTGGAATATGACTTCATTATACTGCTTCTTTTCCAAACAACAACAACAACAACAATAGTAACAATAATGTTGACGGTGGAATTTCATCAACAAGTACTTACCGGATTACTCTTCAATAGCCCGTTGGGTTACCGGTTAGGAACTGATAGTTTTACTGAATGTATTGAATTTTGTAGTAGGGTTTTTGCTAAGTTGTGAAGTGAATGAGATTATGTTTTTTGATATTAAGGACATACAAGAAGTTTATAGTGGTTCACTCTGTTAATCAAGAACTACATCCACTATATTGTATTTCTCTTGATTTTGCTTTTACAAATTACATGCACGTAAAGAAAAATCTCTTCATCCCCTCCCTCTCTCATCTTTCTCTCCAAAGGCGGCCTCCTCCCTTTTATAGTGGTAATTCCATGAGTCTCTGTCCAATGGGAGGCGGTTTGGACCATTGAACCGTGTCTTTCATGGGGCCCGCCCACTCGAGTGGCCTATGGCCTCTTTTGTACAGACCGTAGCCTGCCATTGCCTTTTGGACTGTTCACTCATCCAATTTGTCCCCCCATTACAGCTCTGTAGATCTCTGTAATAGCTAGTGATATGTTCCAAGCGATTTTAGGGGCTTGTAATCATTTCTTATGCAACTGACCTTCTCCAAATCCAGACGCAACCTTCTCAGGGGTCTTCCTTGGGACGTGGGTCCAGTTGCTTACGGTCTGCCGTCTGCGCCTATGTTGACCTCTGTTGAGGGTCTTTTCTCCCGGCCGACTTCATCATGCCACTCTTGTCCGGTCTTGCAGACCT